GGCAGGCGGATCTCTGTGAGTTCGAGACCAGCCTGGTCTAGTTCCAGGACAGGCTCCAAAGCCACAGAGAAACCCTATCTCGAAAAAACCAAAAAAAGGGCTGGAGAGATGGCTCAGCGGTTAAGAGCATTGCCTGCTCTTCCAAAGGTCCTGAGTTCAATTCCCAGCAACCACATGGTGGCTCACAACCATCTGGAATGAGGTCTGGTGCCCTCCTCTTCTGGCCTGCAGGCATACACACAGACAGAATATTGTATACATAATAAATAAATAAATATTTAAAAAAAATAGCCTAAGCCCTAGAAATCATCAGGTGTGTGAACTTCCTATTTGCCTGGCTGTAGTGGTGCACACCTTTAATTCTAGCACTTGGCTAGCGGAGCTCTGAGTTCAAGGCCTTCCTGGTCTAGAGAGCAAGTTGAGTTCTGGGACAGCCAAGACTACACACACAAAAAAAAAACAAACCAAACCAAACCAAAACAAAAACAAAAAAAACCCCATCCTATCTTGGAAAACCAAAAACCAAACCACACCAAGTTTGTATTCACATACATTTTAGTTTAGACTAAGAGGTTACATCTAGCCAGTCCTTTTCAGGACACAGATATATGCCTTTGTTTTAGGAATGGAAAACAAACTTTAGTTCTTTTTTGTTGTTGTTGGAACTTTAGGATGAAGCTATTTTAGTTAGGGAATACAAGAGAAACAATGTGTCTTTCTCCACTTACTACATACATGTTTAAGTCAAGTAGACCACAGAAACATGGATTCAAAAAGTGAGTAGGTACAAAGGAAGTATATGGAAACTTTCAAAGGAAATAACTAATTACATAACTGTCAGTTGTTTAATTGCCTTAAAAGTTTAAAGGTGTGTGTGTGTGTGTGTGTTTGCGCGCGCGTGTGCATACTTTTTATTTTCTGCGAATGGGTATTTTGTCTGTATGAGAATGGAGACACACATGAATGGTGCGCCTTGGAGGCCAGAAGAGGGCATCATATCCCCTGGAACTGGAGTTAAAGCTGTTGTGAGCCACATGTGGGAGTTGGGAACAGAACTCAGGTCCTGGAAGAGCAACAAGAGTGCTTCATTACTTAGTCACCTCTTCAGCCGCAGCCTTGACTCTTTAACTTAGTCTTGTGTTTAGACTTATAATGTTGAAATTAGAAAACATGTCATATTTGAAATAATTGGTAGTAATAATTACCAATAAAAATAAAAGGTAAACCTTGGTGCCAATCAAAAATACAATTGGAAAATATCCTTGTGTTTTTTCTCTAGAAATAATCATACTTCTATCCAAGATTTAAAGACCTCACGTTTTACTGGCCTGAATTACTGTACAAAGTAGTGGGTTTCACTTTGGTATTTTTCTATTTTGTAGGGAGAGGGCCAGGGCTTAAGACTCTCAAATTCAGACTAGGCTGGAACCATGATATAGTCCAGATTGTCCTCAAATTCGTGACCATCCTCCTGCCACTCTGGAATTAGACATGCACCATCATAGAGATGTGTAACAAACTTTGATAATATATATCCCTTCTAATACCTTGTACCTTGTAACACACTTTTTCCCCATTTCATATCGCCTTATCCCCAGTAGCCCCTAAAGGCCCCACTCTTAAAAGACCTCACTCTTCACTCTTCTTTTTTATGCATGTGTAATGCTATCTTTAACTTTTATATCTAATGACACATGACAAGTTTTGTGATTGGAGAAAATTATAATTGAAGCAACTGAAGAGGTATATATCATACAAGTCAAAGTCCATGCCAGTAAATCCTTTGGCCTATATACATACATGTCCCCACACATGTCTAATAAACATAACAGCAGAATGTAAGGGATCAAAGATTACATAGCTATAACATATTTTAAGAGTATTTGCTCCAGCTGCTATTATTTTGTTTGTGTTTTGTGGGCTTTTTGTTTGTTTGTTTTTGCCACAATGCATTTTAGTCTTTGTATTTGCTAACTACAAGGTAATACTTTGAAGGGCCTGGAGAGATGGCTCAGCAGTTACAAGCACTGGCTGCTCTTGGTTAAGAGCACTGGCTGCTCTTGCAGAGGATCTGAGTTCAATTCCCAGCACCCAGATTGTAGTTTATAGCCTCTATAACTCCAGTTCCAGGGGATCTGATGCACTTTCCTAATTTCTACGAGGACAAGGCACATGTGGGAGACATGCAAACAACATTCCTACAATAAAAGTAAATTAAAAAAAAATTAAAGAAATGCTGTCTTCGGGGCTGGAGCAATGGCTCAGCGGTTAAGAGCACTGGCTGCTCTTCCAGACGACCTGAGTTCAATTCCCAGCACCCACATGGCAGCTCACAACTGTCTGTAACTCCAGTTCCAGGGCATCTGACCATCACACAAATAAAGATAAAGTAATAAAAATAAAAAAATAGAAATGATATCTTTCCCCCAAAAGCTCCTGTCAATTGTTAATGCTTACTATCCCGTGTTGAGTGAAGGACTCATGCACCAAGCTGTATGTATAATGTAATAAAAAAGGAAAAAATAGAAATGTTTTGTGTATGTCAATAAGCCTGCCTTAGATAATACAGGAGTAACTGGGCTTAGCACTTGAAAAGTGCATCAAGAGTTCAAGACCAGTGTCATAACAGGTTGTAGGACAGCCTGGGCTGAGACCCTGTCTCTCTTACAAAAGAATGTGGGGGGAGCTGTAGAGATGGCTCAGAGGTTAAGAGCATTGCCTGCTCTTCCAAAGGTCCTGAGTTCAATTCCCGGCAACCACATGATGGCTCACAACCATCTGTAATGAGGTCTTGTACCCTCTTCTGGCCTGCAGACATACACACAGACAGAATATTGTATACATAATAAATAAATAAATAAAATAAATTAAAAAAAGAATGTGGGATGTTTAAATAATGAGGGAACTAAAACTGATTTAGTTAGATAACTCCAATCCTTTTACAGAGTTTTCCATCACTTTGGTAATGTTTAAGCTGGGGCTAGGAGTACCGCTTAGTGTTAGAGCATCTACCAGCATTGCAAGGCCATGGGTTCCATCCACTGTGATGCGTCTAAAGAAATAGGTAGCCGAAAAACTTTTAGGGTTTTCGAGACAGGGTTTCTCTGTAGCTTTGGAGCCTGTCCTGGACTTGCTCTGCAGACCAAGCTGGTCTCAAACTCAGAGATACACTTGTCTCTGCTTTCCGAGTTGTGGGATTAAAGGCGCGCGCCACTACCGCCTGGCGATGGATGAGAATCGAAAGATGTACTGCTCTCAGCTCTTAATAGTCTTTGCAGAAAATTGAATTTGTGTTAGATAAGTTGTGATGTCCAGAGAATCTTTAAGAATTGTGAATCAATTTAGAACAAATAATGTGCAGAAAAAATTGCTCATGAAATGTGATTCATTGGCTATTTGTGATTTCATATATTTTTATCTCCAGTTGTTCATAGGAAACAGAACTAAAGACACTTTATAAAATCCTTTGTGTGCCTGAATTTGTGGTGCTGGTAACCTCTGCACTTTTTTTTTCTTTTCTTTTTTTTTTAAAGATTTATTTATTATGTATACAACTTTCTGCCTCCATTTATACCCACACGCCAGAGGAGGGCGCCAGATCTCTTTACAGATGGTTTGGAGCCACCATGTGGTTGCTGGGAATTGAACTCAGGACCTCTGGAAGAGCAGACAGTGCTCTTAACCACTGAGCCATCTCTCCAGCCCCACCTCTGCACTTTTTATCCATGACTAGTTCGCAACTCAAAGAAATGTTTAATTCTAAAACCATTGGAGTTAAGAAATATTAAAAATATTATACTCCAGGGCTGGGTGTGGTGGCACTGCCTTTAGTCCCAGCAGCCAGTCATTCACAGGCAGGTGTGTGTGTGTGTGTGTGTGTGTGTGTGTGTGTAGTTGGATTTTCTTTGTGTTTACTCTTTGGGGGCCCACAGCCCAGCTCCCATATGTAATGTATCTTCAACTAATATTCCATATGTAGTGTGTGATATGTGGATAGAGGCAATATGAGAATATATAAAGAAGTTGTTCTAATTTTGATTAGGTGTTTAACAATCTTTTGACTTTGTAATTCTCCAAATGAGAACACATTACCAGCAATGGTGCGATTTTTGTAATTTGGAAGAAGATCTACTTCTAAGAATAAATATAAAAAGATTTCCGTCTAGGGAAAATGTCTTAATATGGAAGTAATGGAAGCCTGCGGAGTATATCATTGACATAGAAGACAAAAGAAAATCCTACTCGGGATGAGTCATTGTCATTAAGGTTTCAACCTTAATGTGCATTTATATACGTATGGATACTATGTAGCACATGTGGGTGAATATAGTGAATGAAATGACAAGTATCTTTTGTAATGATTTACTTTCTAAAAATGAGAACTTGATAATTTATATGTAATTTTGTTACTCCGTGAATTTGTTTTGGCAGCTTTCACTGAGTCCAGGCTGCCCAGGAACTTAATGTAGCCAAGGTCTTAATCCTGTGCATTCTGCTTCCACCTCCCAGTTTCCAGGAACTTAGCACCTAGTGCCTGTTTGGAGGTGCTATTTTAAAGCAGCATATGTGCTTGCTCAGGTATATGGACACAGCAAAAGTCTATCTCATTGCCTTGAACAACGAGAGCAACTGGAGAAGGGGTAGAGGCCAAGTTGGCTTCAGGATCTGAGTTCATTTATTTCCTTGGCCCAAAAATTAAAAATTTGGTTTAGGGCCAATAAATAGAAGATTACAGGGAAAGAAGCAGTGCTAATATTAACATCAAACTAACACACTTGAAGTTTTCCTTTCAAGGATATTTGCAATGATAAAGTAGAGTAGCATAAACTAGATAAGTGAAATCAAATTCATATCTTTATATCTGTGATCAAACCATTTCGTCATAGCCAATCCTGGTACTTTTTTATGAGATCTAACTAAAATAATTATTGGTAGTGTTGTACATGTTTTTAATAATACTAATGATTTTTATTTCATTTTTCTACTTTCATTATCTTCAGGACTCCACTCAAAAGTTTGAGAAATGAAGACTTTTCTGTTATTTGTGGTGTTAGGAACCCTTTCGCTAGTTTCCCACTGATCAGTAAGTTAAATGTAGATTTTTTTTAAATGGAAATTACTTGTACAGTATCAAGTTTCCTGTGACATTTTCATTTACGTTTAGCATGCTTCGATTTTATGCATCCGCAGAACCCTAACTTTTCATCTCTTATCCTTTTCCTGTTCCCTAGTAAACGCCCATCTACTTTCGTGGCCCAAGGAAGATATCTGAGAATGCCTTCTAGGAAGCAAATAGGTACTTTCTGATAAGCTTCTAATTTTTAAAAAATTTATTCTCTGATTTTTTTTTTCTTTTGTTGTTTTTTGAGACAGGAGTGCCTCATCTCCTGTCGCTACCTTGTCCTGGGGTTACAGGGATGTGCCACCATTCTTGCTTTGCTATGCTGGGGATGGTGTCCAGGGTCTCCCTCCTTACTAAACAACATATTTCCCTCCCCTACCCCTGTGGACTCCCCCTCCACGCATTATTTTCCCTGCACATCTCTCCATCCCTCCTTTAGCTCCTGCCTGTAAATCCCCAGCTGCCTCTGCTGAATTCAGGATTGAGCCTGATTTATGTCTTCCCCCATTGAAAAATTCCTGTAGCAATAATCTTGGTTGTTTTAACAATGATCAAAGTAATTTTGTCATTAATATTAGTAAGTCAAGTCAGGATGCTTACAGATGGCCTATTTCTGCCACTGATTTTTTTGAATTTCTTTATATCCTTTAGGTGAGGCTTATGAAGATTTGCTCATAAAGCAAGAAGTTGAGAATTTGGGTTGCCAAAGACAAAGCAAAGAATGGTAGTAAATAATCGCAAGATATCAAGACTACTGCTGAGAATGTAGTGAGGTAGTTCTCGATTTGGTTTCAAACAGAAACTAAGAATTTACTGCTGTGAGCTTATCCATACAAATCAAATGTAAAGCAGCCTCCATGTTTCTTGATGCCTTTGCCTCTGATTAGTATTTTTTTTTTTTTTTTTGAGATGGGCTAGGCAGGGGAGGAGTACGCATATGTACAAATAATACCCAGAGTGCTTCTGCAAACTTGCTAGTTTCTTTAAGAAAGAAAAGGTGCCTAGTCTGGTGGCACCGCTAATGGCAGCGTGATTTAATTGCAGCCCTTGAGTGGCTGGATCTGGCAGATTTTGGCGAGCTGTAGGCTGCCAGTCTACGCAGTGAGTTACAGTGGCCAATTTACTGGACAGGTACTGCGGTGGAAATTTACCTTGAGAAAAGGCGAAAGTCCGAACTCAGTGGTTTTAGTTCTTAATTTGGCCTAGAAGGAAGACAAAAGTAAAATGGCTGCTCTAGGGGCTCCACTGATTTCGAACAGGACGGAGGATGGTCGATTTTCTTGGCCTTTTTTTTTTTTTTTGGTCTCAGTGGTGTTTTTGTTTTTTCAGACTACGAAGGGCGGGAGAGGAGACAGCTAAGATGGCGGTGCTGGCGCTCTCTGGAGCACTACTGCCATCGTGCGGTCAGAGTTTCAGAGACTCAATGAACAGTTTCTTCACTGTATGCAATGCCAAGGCCGCTCTAGGCATACTTCTTTAGGCATGGGCATATTCTGTGTTAGGGTTGGTTCGCTAGGCACAGCCGTATTTCTAAGGCCCTAAGTATGATCCGAACCCAAGCACTATTTGTGTAGAACCTGGAACGCGAGAGGCCTGTGTACCAGGGACTTGGAAGCTTCCAGGACGTAAAGACACAGGAAGTCCTAGGGCGGGACTTATGTTTTGAATACAAACAAACACTTGGCATTTGTTAATTGTGTCTGAGAGAGGATTTACAGGCTTCATAGTTGTCTCTTCTCTGCCTTCATCCACCAAGTTTAGCCTTTGAAACACAAGTTAACTTCAAGGGAAGTAAAACATGTCTGAATGGATAAGGTTCAGTGGAGAATTATCAGTTACAAAATGCTAACCAACCACGTTCCTAGGCCTTTGTGTCTAGATTCTGATTCTGACTATTACTAGAATCACTATTGGGCTTGGAGGGCGGGAGTAAAGCAGTCAAGGGTGGCCCTTGTGACTGTCTGTGGAGCACTATTGCCATTGTGCAGGAATAATTACAGTACACACGGCACCATTACAGCTTCATTCCCGTGAGTCTAGCAGTGGGGAAAGAATTCCTGGAAGGATCCACCTGGCTTAGACTTTGGGGCCCAGGGCCTTTCCCCTGAGGCAAGAGGAGAAACTTGGACAGCAGTACAATCGTAGTATTAAAAATGAAGTAAGTGCAAGGAGCCAACAGAGGACCTGCAGGTGCTTAGACTAGCAGACAGGAAGTTGCTGGTTGGCATTTTGGTCCTTTTATCTGGGTCATAAACTTTCAACTCTTGGTGGGGACGCCTGTCTCCTGCTCCTTATAGTATGAGTCAGCAGGATTTTAAGTAGTGTCCTCTTACTAACAGGCTACATCTCACCTACGTGACCACGAGATACATGCCATGTTTGTGGGGTGGAAAGCTAACTATAGTTAAGTTGGCCATATTACCAGAAGAGATTTTCAGTGTTATGGCAGACCTCATTGTCCTAATGACCATTCTGCAGAAGCAGAATGCCTGACCCTAAAGGTCATATGGAATTTTGATTGACCGACAAATCTAAAATTATCTTAAAATAACCAAATTACAGCATCTAGATCTCATAACTTAGTGTCAAAATGGAATTAATCTAACAAGCATGTTACGTACGTTAATCTAACAAGTATATTTGTGGCATATAGACAGGTTGGTGAACTCTATTGCGAACCCAGAAATCCACTGAGGCAGAATCTCAGCATCAAGCTTAAGCGACCCTGGAACACATTATGTAGGCCAAGGGAAAGTGTAAGACTAAAGTATGCTAAACAGTCCAGTATAAAAACAACAACATGTATGCAGTTAAACTATAGGAAAGAGCAGTGGGCTGCCTATGTTCCCATGGGATAGGAGGGAGCCCCGAGAGAAACTCTGATATATCCAATTGGAAATCAGAGACATTTCAATACACACATGTGTTTCTCCTTGTAGGGATTTGTCCAGCATTTGGTGTTGACAGGTATCTGTGCCACTAATGTCAGCCTCCCACTGTGCACCCAGGCCCATTTTTCTAGATCTCTTTCTGTAGATCTCCAGTGGTCTATGATAGCCAGGTAAGTTGTGGTGTGAAGGTAGATAATAACAATTAGATTTGCTTTTTTTCAAGCACTGTGGTGACCGCATGTTTTTTCCTACCTAGACCTGGATGCCTAGTTCTGCGAGGCAAGACCAGAAAACAGGCAGCCACCCTGAGCAAGCACTAGATGGAGAAGCTGCTGGGTGCAGACCAGGAGAAATGCAAGATTGGACCATTGACAGAACATTGACTTCTTCCAAAGAGAAGGTGGTTGCCTCAGATCTCACTTTCATCTGTCTTTTCTTCTTCCTGGTATTGCTCTGAGATGTATTTATTTATCCATTTACTCATGTATCTATTTACGGGCTTCTTTTTGTCTTTTGATACTGGAGGTCCAATGCAGGTGCAGACCCATTAGATATGGCATTGATATAAATGAAAAATAGAAGCTAAGTTCTCAGAGTGCAGTGCAGCATGCACCCAAACAGGGAACAAAGAAAGCAAGGCTCACTCAGTTACTGGAGACTTTGCAAGGGATTTTTTTTTTTTTTTTTTTTTTTTCCCCAGTCTGGAAAGGCCTGCTTGGAGATGCATGCAGGATGCCTTCTCTATTCTGGGGCAACACTGCCCTCGTGTGGAAATTGTTTCGTACATACCCTTCCATGTGTAAAATCGGCTTCTACCCATTTGGAAGGTGAGGGTCAGGGAATTTTAAATTACCAAGTTTGCCTGGCCTCATACCATTTTTTTTTCTTTTTCTGTAGGCAAACTGAAACGAGGAGCCCTTTTAGAGTCTTAATATAAACCCTGTTGACTGAAGGCCCAGTTACTAGTGCACAGCTGTCCTGAGGTCCAAAAACAGGAAGGGGGGGCGGGGTTTGCACTGCTCAGATCGCAAATTGAATCTACTAGCACGTATCTTGGGGCAGGAAGGCGCCTCCTTCTCCAGGTTCTGGTGAGAAAACTGAATGGTCTGTATTTCTCTTGAGGCCTGAGGAGAAGTCGAGGAAGGCCATGTGGGCTTCTAGTTGTCTTGTAATTGTCATCTTCCGCCATGGCTAAGAATCATGGGAAGGAAGCTTAGCTCAGGGGCGCTGTGAGTTGTGAAACTCTATCCTGATGATGGCAGTAGAGCGCCATGAAGGACCCGGTGCCCGCTGGTCTCCCGCCCTATCTGGCTGAAAAAAGGGCATCCAGAGACAAAAGACCCAAATAAAATGGTTGCTGAGAATTTTGCCCAGCTCTGAGTAATTTGAAAGCCATTTTTTTTATCTTGTTTTCCACATTCATCAAAAGTGACACCTAAATTTAGCAGAGATCTTAGGACTCTTTTTGTTATGGGGAGGATGTTTCCTTCTTTATAACTCTTGATTTTTACCCTTGCCGGATACCTATACTGTTCTTAAAAATTTGGTCACATTAATTTGTTGTAGGTCTTACACAATAAAGTTAGGAGATTGAGGAGGAAAGAATTATGTTACCCCATACAGTGCAATGGATATACACGTGGGGTTTGTTGCTTACTTAGCATGCCCTAGGTACCTGAGATTTATTTATTATACTGATTTTTGTGAGGCTACTTTCTATTTAGCCAATTTGCTTAACATGTTTAGGCGTTTCCTCGTGGAATTTTCAGGATGACTTCTGTCTACTGTCGTCATCTACAAGTAAAGGTACCTTGACATCTTCCTTTCCAGTGTATCATTTGCTCTCCTTCAGTTGTCTTATCCCTCAAGGGAAGACTTTCTAAGAAGAGACAGGCCCCACCTAAAAGGATGGGACAGGGAATTAGATGTAACCTGGCATGCTCAGTAGGAGGAAACAAACCCACTTACTCTTTAGGAGGCGATAAAAGATTCAGAGATACCTGCACCAATATACCTGGCCTTTCAAACTTTGTATGGCTTTGATGAAAATTGCTCAGAAATCCATAATGAAAAGTACCAGTTTTTTTTGGGTTTTTTTTTTTGTTTTTTTGTTTTTTTTTTTTTTTTGGTAAACAAATTTAGCCCTTTTGAGCTTCTTCTACTTAAATCTTGGACAGCACAGTTTCCTTTTGCTACGTTTTTCTTCCTACTTCCTCAAAAATAGAGGTATGAGGAGCTATGCATAACATGGTCCAGTGTAGATGCAATTTTTTTTTTCGTATTTAGTTTTATTTATGAGAGAAAAGTTTATAGGTACAGCCCTGAGATCTCTGTGGGTGGAATTTATACTTTCCATTTTCCCTTCTTAAGATTTTTGTCTTTTGTGCTTTGATGGTAGGTTCCTGTGAAGGTCTAGACCTGCCAATTGTGACATTGACAGAAAATTAGAAAATTAAAATGGAAGCTAAGCTCTCAATAAATCACTTCTCCCTTTTAAAGAAGTTCTGCCTGTCACAGCTTTGCACTCTGCCTTTGTATTGTAGTTTTTTCATATTGGAAAGGCGGGAACAGAGCAATGCATGAATGTTGCCCTCTTTGCAATGGGGCAACAATGCCATCATGTGGAATGTGTTTCGTTTATCCTTGTGCATGTATGCACTGCTTCCTCAAGACTATTTCTGTCCATTCTCGCCTCCTTCGTGAAGGCAGACTGGAATCATGGGATCCTTCAGAGACTTAATATAGACCTTATTGTCCTAGTGCCCAGTTACTAGGGCACAGCTGTTCTGAAATCCAGGAACAGGTAGTGGGGGGCAGGGTTTGCACTGCTCCCCTTGCAATAGGAATCTACTAGCTAGTGTCCTAGGGCTGGAAGGCGCCCCATTCTCGAGATTCTGGTGAGAAAACTCTGCAGTCTATCTATCTGTTGGGGCCTGTAGAGAAGTTACAGAACCCAAGTCGACATGTATGGTTGTAGTTCTCTGCAACCTCCATCTTCCACCATGGCTAAGAATCATGGGAAGGAAGCTCAGTGGCGCTGTGAGTTGTGAAACTCTATCCTGATGATGGCAGTAGAGCTCCATGAAGGACCTGGTGTGCGTTGGTCTCCCGCCCTTCCTTTCTGAAAAAACGCTACCCAGAGACTGAAGGAGATGGCTTCTGGAGTTTTGTCTGGTTCTAAGGACTTCTTGTGTTTTGATTTTCTTGTTCAGTCAAAGAGAGACATAAATTTAGCTGAGGGGGATATTTCTTTTTTTATGACATTTTGCTTTTAGCCTTGCTGGATACTTATGGTGTTCTTACACTTTTGGTCCCATTAATTTATTGTTGGTTTTGCACAATAAAGTTATGCTGAGAGATTGGGAAGCAAAAGATTATTGTGTTAACTCCTGTGGTGAGATGGCTAAAGATGAGGGGATCATTGCTTACACAGCATGATCTAGGCATGGTTCGTTTTTGTTTGTTTGTTTTGTTTTTCTAGACAGGGTTTCTCTTTAGCATTTGGAGCCTGTCCTGGAACTAGCTCTTGTATACCAGACTGGTCTCAAACTCACAGAGACCTGCCTGCCTCTGCCTCCCTAGTGCTGGGATTAAAGGTGTGCACCACCACCACCACCTGGCCCTGCAATTGAGTTTAATAAACTGTTACAAGTGACTGGGTGGGGTAACTAATAGACACATAGTATATGTCATTTAGGTCATTTCGCAATGCCTAATTTTGGAAGAACCATCCATGGCAGTAAATCTTACCTATGTGGATAGAAATGTAGAAAACGATTCTTAATAGTGAGACCTATTTATTTTGCTGTAATAGTTTTATTAATCATTTTATTGAATAATTTTAATGCATGTGAATCAGTTCAATGTTTTCAATGCATTTGAATCAATTGTAAAATATCAAATGTTTTCACTGATTTGATATTGCCTGCGTACTTCAGATCTCACAATTTGTTAGAGAAAAATGAACTTTCTAAAGCCTGCTCCATGACATCTAAAGAATAATAATAATAAAATAAATTAAACCCAAACTAATTGGATTCTGACAACCAAAGACAAAATGGAACTAGCTAGGCTATGGCGGTGCTCATCTTTAATTCCAGCACTCTGGAGGCAGAGGCAGGCACATTTCTGTGAGTTCAAGGTCAGCCTGTTCTAAAATGAAAATTGCAGGGCCAATAGGACTGTTACACAGGGAAAACATTTCTCAAAAGAAGCAACAAAACTAAACTCATCTAAAATAAAAAAGGGAACTAAAGAAACACTTACAGAGACACACATTTATACACATTGGAATAACACAACTGGAAACCAGAGTGTGTATGTCTTGTGTATATATGTATCTTGTATATGTGTGTGTATATATGTATATATGTATATGTGTATATATGTATATATGTATATATACACACACATATATCTGCAAAATTTTCTGGTTTTGTTTTTTAAATGCTCTGAGTTCATTATGAGATAGAAACTACAAATGTCATTAAATCACTTTGTGGTGGCCTTCTACTGCTTGGCATGAGGCCTAGCTTCAAGCGTAGTTTGATTTCTCAGTGTGCTTCCCTTGAGGAAGGCTAATTTTGCATTTCTAACTGGCTGTCAATGGGAAACAGTTTTGGGGTTAGGGTTGGAATTGTGTCATCTTCTCCTTTCAGCTCCAGACCGCATCTTGAGCAGTGCCATGTAGGCCTTGTGCATGCTGCCTCAGTGTGTGAGTTGATATGTGTTGTAGCCATGTTGTGTCCAGAAGGCCTCAGTGGCATCCTCCATCCCCTCTGACTCTTAAACCACTCTATCCATCTTCTCTCCTGAGAGCTCCTGAGCCCTGGGGGGCGGGGGGGAGTTTCCTGGAGACTTTGTTCTTTTTCTCCTTCCTTCCTTCCTTCCTTCCTTCCTTCCTTCCTTCCTTCCTTCCTTCCTTCTTAGGGTTGAGTACTTTAAAGTTTGTTACTTTCTGCATATTATATGACTGTTGGTCTCTGTTTTTGTTCACATATGCTGCAGGAAGAAGTTTCTCTGATGTTGACTGTGTAAGGTCCTGATCTTCAGTTGTCTTATCCCCAAGGGAAGACTTTCTAAGAAGAGACAGGCCCCACCTAAGAGGCTGGGACAGGGAATTGGATGTAACCTGGCATGCTCAGTAGGAGGAAACAAACCCACTTACTACTTTGAGGTGGCAACTTAACTTAAGAAAAGATTCAGAGATGCCTGCACCAACATACCTGTCTTTAAATTAAAGAAAGGCATTTGAAACCTTGTATGGCTTGGAAGAAAACTTCTCACAAATCCATACTGAAAAACATCAGTTAAAAAAATATGTTTTTTGAGAATGTTCTACTTAAAACTTGGAGCACACAATTTCATTCTACAGTTTTTCTCCCTACTTTCCTTGATATCCATGCTTACATTGACATTAAAACTCTGTGTAACCTTGTAAGGTTTCCCAACAATAAAGGTTTGAGGAGCTATGTATAACATAGTCCAATTTAGATGGAAATTTATTAGATTTTCAGTGTTATTTGTAGGACAAAATCTATAGATACAACTCTGTGATCTGTCTGAGTGCCTGGATCAGGATATGGGTTGGTTACCAGAAAATCTGTGAAGTGAATCTGGCAGAGAACCAGCCTTCCTGGCTTCTAGATATGATTGACTGGCTGCATTTTCTTATTCTTCCTAGAACTGGAGCCTAAGATTTAACGTTGAACACCAGACAGTCCTACACCAGCATATGCACTGGAGGTAGAATCGGCTGGAGAGGAGGAAACTCAAGGCTTGATCACTGACTGGCCACTGACTGCTTCAAAACAGAGGAGTCCTGAGATGGTGGGCACCTCAGCTCTCCATCTCCTTCCCCTTTTTCTCCTGCTTCCATCAGTTTCCTGTACTTTCCTTCTTCCCTTCTTTGGATTTTTGTCTTTAGTCATTTTTGGTGGTTTCTGATGAAGGAACAGAGCTACTAGCTGTGGCACTCAGATAAAACTAAAATGGAGGCTAAGCTGTCAGTGAATCACTTTTGCTCTCTCTGAAGGAAGGAGAAACATTGTTGGACTCTGCTTTGGTTTGTGTGTGTGTTGTTGATTTTTTTCAAATAGGAAAGGCGGAGAAGAGCAATGCATGTTCTTTTCAGTGGGGCAACAGTGCCATCATGTGGAAAGTGTTTCCTTTATCCTTGTGCATGTATGCATTGCTTCCTCAAGACTATTTCCAGCCATATTTGAAAGTGTGGGTCAAAACGATTCTCAAGTGGCCTAGCCTTACCTCCTTCCGTTTTCTACTTTTTTCGTGTAGGCAGACTCGAGTCTTGGGTCCTTCAGAGACTTAATATAGACCTTAGTGTCCTAGTGCCCAGTTACTAGTACACAGCTGTCCTGAGATCCAGGAACAGGACGTGGAGGGGCGGGGTTTACACTGCTCAGATCGCAAATTGAATCTATTAGCTTGTGTCCTAAGGCAGGAAGCTACCTCCTCTCTAGGTTCTGGTGAGAAAACTCTACAGTCCATGTTTGTGTTGGTCCCTGAAGAGAAGTCAGGGAACCCGAGTAGAGTCAGCACCTCCAGCATGGCAGTCGCCATCTTCTGCCATGGCTAAGAATCATGGGAAGGAAGCTTAGCTCAGTGGGGCTGTGAGTTGTGAAACTCCATCCTGATGATGGCAGTAGAGCTCCATAGAGGAGCTGATGAGCATTTGTCTCCCGCCCTTCCTGTCTGAAAAAACGCCCTCCAGAGACAAAAGGTCCAAAGAAGATGGCTGTCTGGAATTTGTCTAGTTCTAACAACTTGTGTCTTGTTTTCCTGGTTCAGTCAAAGTGAGACCTAAGTTTAGCAGAATTATTGTGTTAACTCCTGCGGTGCCATGGGTACAGATGTGATCATTGCTTACACAGCATGACTTAGGCATTTGAGTTGTTTTTTTCTTAGTGTGTTCTGTTTTGTTTTTTCTTAGACAGGGTTTCATTGTAGCTTTTGGAGCCTGCGCTTAACTAGCTATTGTAGACCAGGCTGGCCTCGAACTCACAGAGATCTGCCTGCCTCTGCCTTAGGAGTGCTGAGATTAAAGGCATGCTTCACCATCACCCAGAGGCATTTGAGTTTTATATACTGCTACAAGTGACTGGGTGGAGTAACTAATAGACACACAGTTCATGCCACTGGTCCTTTCCCAATGTATAATTTTGGAAGAAACATCCATGGCAGTAAATCTTACCTATGGGGATGGAAATGTAGAAAAAAGAGTCTTAATAGTTATTGAGATCTATTTATTTTGCTGTAATAGTTTTATTAATCATTTTACTGAATAATTTTAATGAATGCGATTCAGTTCAATGTTTTTAATGCGTTAATATTGGTTGTAAAATATCAAATGTTTTCAGTGATTTGGTGTTGCCTACGTACTTCAGATCCCACAATTTATTAGAGAAAAAAGGAACTTTCTAAATCCTGCCCCTAGTACCTTTACAAAATCTGTGTGTTGCATTCACATGTTACGTGTGAATCAACTTTATATACTTCTGTAACTCTAAAGTGAAGTATTTTTATATATTATATGACATCTAAATAATAATAATAATAATAATAATATAAAATAAACCCAAATAAATTGGATTCTGACCAAACAACCAATGACAAAATGGAACTAGCTAGGCTATGGTGGTGCTCATCTTTAATTCCAGCACTCTCGAGGCAGAGGCATACACATTTCTGTGAGTTCAGGGTCAGCCTGTCCTAAAATGCAAATTCCAGGGCCACTAGGACTGTTACACACGGAAATCCTGTCTCAAAAGAAGCAACAAAACTAAACTGATCTAAAACAAAACAAAACAAAAAGGGAGCTAAAGAAACACAGAGACACACATGTTTATACACACCGGATTACCACCAAAAGCAAAACAGGAAACCAGTGTTGCGGGAGGTCCTCCCACTCCTCCAGCCTATCACCGCTGAGGTACCAGCCCACTGGGGCGTGGTTTCTCTCCCTTTAAAAAAGCGGCCACTTCCCTCTCCTCGCTCTCTTCACTTCCTGCTCCGCCTGTGACTAGACTCCTTTCCTGGTTGCATAGAGGGCTGTTGCCTGGGACAGTGTAAGTTTTTTCCCCTTTAAATAAATACCACCCTAATAATCATAACCCCGAATTGGTGTGGCATTGTTTGTGACTTACGCCTTCATTTTGGCACCCAACGTTTGGTTTTAGAACCTCTCCTTTCCCCATTCGCAGCCGCGAGTTCGGCTTGGTGGCCCCAAGTTCGGCTTGGCGGCTGCGGGCTTGGCGGGCGCAAGTTCAGCTTGGCGGCTGTGGGCTTGGCGGGCTCTAGTTCGGCTTGGCGGGAGCCCCTCCTTCCTCAGCCGCCAGCGGCCTTGGACTCCCCAAGTGGATTTAAACTCCACAGGCCCGCGTAGTCTCTGGCCGCGTGGTTTGCTCTTTTCTGAGTCATTTTTAAATCTCCCTTGCAAGTACAGCTCTTAAGTGGCACGAACCAGAGCACGTGGTTGCTGAAAGCTGCAACCCCTCAGGGTGACTCTGTCACGTGGAGGCATAAACGGCTTCCAGATTGCTCTTCTCTACCCCTGGATTCTGGGTTTCTGGTTCCGTCTCAGGAATTGATTTAATTACATTTACTTTGTTGAGAAACTTGCATTTTCCAGTTTTTAACATCTACTAAGGCACTGAAACAGGACCATGTTTTCACCGCGACTATGCAACAGCGCCACCTGCTGGATAATAGGTAATATTGCAGTTTTTGTTTCCAACGCAAATTTTACTGCTTTGTTTTCACTAATACAATGGATTAGTAAATTTATATTTACTAATACAATGAATTACATCATACAAGGTTTATATGATTATGGGGATACCTTAATTTGCTTGTTACTAGCCTTCAGTTTTCTTTTCCATATTCTATCATTAAGGAAGAATATGGCACTCCTAAGAACGATTGAATCTTTACGTACTAATAATGAACAGAAGAATATGGCACTCCTAAGAATGATAGAATCTTTACGAACTAATAATGAACAACTAATTGACAGGATTAAAATTATTGAAAATCAGAGGTTATCTGAACAAGTGGATACTATGACAGACAAAATTGATTCCATATCCAAGGGTATTAGAAAGTTACCTGAAAGGGTTCAGGCTGTTGAATTTGACGTTCAGACTTTATCACAAAGTTTTGATAAGGTAACAGACAGAATGTACCTCCAAGATGGGAATCTACATGATATACTAGAAAAGTTTAAGGAGGACATGTTATCTTTGAAGGAAAAAATTAAAGCTTTGGAATCACAGGTGCAGAATGGGGAGCAAAAAATTAATACCTCAGTGAAATCACAGGAAATATATACAGGTCAGGAGATTCAGGATTTAAGAGAGACAATGATAAAAAGATTTGAAAAGATTGGGGAAATTATTGCAGCTGGTGAACAGAGTAAGGAGGCACAAGGACAGGATACAAGGCCTCCACCAGCTATTAGAATTGGCTTACCCAGGGTTCTAGCGACATACCCTATACTTAATTCTGAAAAAGCATCAACTTCTAAAGGCTCAAAGGGAGTCAGAGAAGCTAGATGGACGCCAATAGCAATGAATGATCTGAAAGAAATTAAGCAAGCTATTGTTAATTTTGGCTTGCACAATGCATATGTAAAGGAAATGATAAGGACTTGGGCTTCTAATGCTAGAGCTATTCCCCATGATTTCCATCAGTTAGTGTCTGCAGTTTTAGATAATGGACCTTCCTTGATGTTTGGAATTTATTTCAGAGAAGAATCCAAACATATGGAACAGCAAGGAAGAGCAAAAGGTATTGAGGTTTCCCAAGATCAAATTCTTGGTGCAGGAGAATATGCTGATCCACAGGTCCAAGCTCTTTATGACGATGAAGTACTGTGTCTATGTCACCAAGCAGCTTTAAATGCTTGGAATAGGATACAAGATCCAGCAAAAAGAGTTGAATCATATACCAGAATTAGGCAGGGACAGAGAGAACCCTTTATTGACTTTTTGCAAAGATTAATTAAGGTTCTGGACATAGGGGTAACAGACCCAGAAGCTAGACGAATACTTCTTGAATCTCTAGCTTTTGAGAATGCAAACATAGAATGCAAAAAGATAATTGGGCCTTTAAAGTCTAGATCAGCACCTATGGATGAATGGATTCAGCATACGATGAATGTTGAGACGTTTAGCTATAATGATGAATCTTGGGTAGGAGAAGCGATTTCCAAAGCAATGAGGAGACATCAAACTGCCAGGTGTTTTAATTGTGGTCAATTAGGACATTTGCAAAGGAATTGCAGGCAAAGAATTTCTAGGAATAATATCTCTTCTGGGAATGACAAAAATAGGAGACCTCGGCCTTCAGGTATATGTAGGAGATGCGGTAAAGGCAGGCATTGGTCCAACGAATGTAGGTCAACAACAGACAGCCGGGGCAATCCGATATCATCGGGAAACTCCTTGGGGGGCCTCTCGCAGGCCCCCAAGCCAACAGTGGCCCAGTCATTCCCAGTCACAGTGGAGAACGTGCCTCACCAAGAAAATTAAAAGCTCCAATTTCTGCTGTAAAAAGTAATACTGGTCTAAATGAAGAATTACGTGTGGAGGATGAGTCAAAAAACCCAATAGGACAGAGTAAACGTATATTTTGGCAGACTTCTATTAATGATCAAAGACCAAAGCTAAGAGTCTGTATAAATGGCACTTTTTTTGAAGGCTTATTAGACACAGGTGCGGATGTAAGTATCATTACCCCAGAATCTTGGCATCCGAATTGGCCTCTTCAAGAGGTAGATGTTCAGTTCCTGGGAATTGGAACCCTATCTCGTGTAAAACAAAGCACAAGATGGGTTGAATGCATAGGGCCCGAAGGGCAAATAGGAAGACTAAGGCCATATATAGCCAATATTGCCATAAATTTATGGGGCCGTGACCTGCTACAGCAATGGAATACCCAGATTAACATTCCTGTATTTCCAGGAACTCATAATTCTGGGAAGGATATGATGAGGTATTATGGAAAAAGGTCACCAGCCATTCAGGCTGTACAAGAACATACAGCAAATACCAAACCTTTAGAGGTACCAACGGCCCTAACTTTAAAATGGCTAACTGACAAGCCAATATGGACCAAACAATGGCCTCTAGCTGAAGATAAACTACAGGCATTGGAACAGCTGGTGCAAGAGCAACTAGATGCTCACCATATTGAAGAATCAACCAGCCCTTGGAATTCTCCTGTGTTTGTTGTAAAAAAGAAATCTGGTAGATGGAGAATGGTGACAGATCTAAGAGCTGTCAACAAAGTAATTCAATCTATGGGCCCACTACAATCTGGAATTCCTTTGCCTTCTCTGTTACCAAAAGGATGGCCTCTTATAGTTATTGATTTGACAGATTGTTTTTTCACTATACCATTACAAGAAAATGATAGAGAAAAATTTGCCTTCACAGTTCCTACTTATAATAATTCTCAGCCTAATAGGAGATATCAATGGACTATCCTCCCACAGGGTATGCTCAATAGTCCTACATTTTGCCAATATTTTGTAAGTAAGCCATTGGAAATAATTTGTAAACAATTCCCCAAGTCCATAATTTATTATTACATGGATGACATCTTGTTTTCTGATTCAAATAAAGATACTTTAGAAAGGATGTTTGAAGAAGTAAAGAAAGTCTTGCCTAGGTGGGTATTACAAATTGCCTCTGAAAAGATTCAAAGAGGAAATTCTATTAATTACCTAGGTTACAGAATAGGGTTAGAGAAAATTAAAACGCAAAAGCACAAATTAGGAGAGACCGGTTAAAGACCCTTAATGACTTCGAAAGATTGTTAGGAGACATTTCCAGTCTACGACCAGCTGTTGGGATAACACCTGATCTAACAGTTCATTTAAACGAAACCTTAGATGGTGATAAAGATTTGAATAGTCCAAGAAAACTGACAGCTGAAGCAGAAAAGGTACTGATAATGATTGAAGAAAAATTACAGGAGGCACATGTGGATAGAGTGAACCCAAATCTTAGCTGCATCCTAGTCATATTGCCTTCCAGAATTTCTCCTACAGGGATTCTAATGCAGAGGGAAGATATTATTTTAGAGTGGATATTTATACCTAATAAACCAAGTAAAAAATTAAAAACTTATGTGGAAAAGGTCTCTGAATTAATTATAAAAGGTAAGCTGAGACTTCGTCAACTAGCAGGAATAGACCCAGCAGAAATTATAGTGCCTTTTACTACTGAAGAAATAAAAAAGTTATGGGAAGACAATGAACCGTGGCAAAGAGCTTGTGCTAACTTTTTGGGAGAAATTAATAGCAACTATCCCAAAAGTGATAGACTTAATCTCATAAAAAGAACTTCTTGGATTCTTCCTAGAATTGTACGTGATGCTCCAATAACTGGAGCCCGTACGTTCTATACTGATGCAAATAAATCAGGGAAAGCAGGTTACAAGTCAGATGAATTGAGTAAGGTGGAACAAAGCCCTTATAATTCTGTCCAGAAGGCAGAATTATATGCCATTCTTATGGTGCTAAGGGATTTTAAAGAACCTCTTA